AATCCTCTTAAACGCTAACAAAATTTATTCTGCATTTCATTATTATATTGAAGCACCGTTACATCTTTCTCTTCATGAAGAATTATATCACTGTTTAGTGTACAACAGGGATAAACTATATAATAATCGGATAATCAAGAAAAACACTCAACAATAGTTTATTATTACTATATTGTAAAGAAAAAATTTAACATGAAATCAAAAGAATCAATTCAGAACTTCTAAATAAAACTTTATTTTATCACCAGTGTTTATTTTATTTATTTGTTATTTTATCACATGAATAATTTATGACGGTAAAAATTTTATGGCGCATCATATGTTTGACTCTAAACAAAAATTGTAAGGACAAATTAACGCCATGTAAATTCACGATAATTTCTATAGATTATTTGCATCAGTAATAAGTTCATCTGGTTGTCCGAGTCTCTTTTGTATAAATCTGATTTTTCTACTAATTTTTCATGCATTCTTGGATTATACGAACCTATATATAACGATGGAGCTGGTCTCCGAAACATTATTAGTAAATCATTGTGAATTTATTTAGCATATTTTTAGTTTTGAAATTCTTAAGTAATTCGAAATTAAAGGAAATTAATGTTATGTGAGATTTTGCCTAATCAAGCCAGACACGCATATGGCGACACACAAGTAATCTAATCTCGGGCATATATCATCTAAAAATCACCAGAAACACCAGTTTTCTTGGCTTTCTTCATAACAAAACCTTGCTTGTGCAACAGTTGAAGAGCGAGCACGAACATTGTTAGCATTTATCTAACATAATGACAAATTAACTATAAATATTGAAGGTATCGTTATTTATTATGGTTTCATTTGTTAATTTTTTTTTTAAACTCTTGTGTGTTTTTAAAGCAGTTGTGTTCAATAACGCATTTGACAGTATAGGAAACGTCGTAAACGAACACGAATAACTTGTTAACGTTTAAATCTACGGCGCTGCCCACCGACTTGATTAAGTAGTCTTCAGCTTAATAATATGTAATTCTTTATATACAATTTATTATACAAACCAAATGGCTTGTTTCTAATAATGAAATTTACAGATCGAAGAAATGCGATTCCATGTCAGTTTTGTGCATGAAGAGGATAACTAAGGAACCCTATAGAAATAAATTATTTTCATTTATAATTAAAAGGAATCACAAGAATGCATTATACACTTGAAATCTCTCCAAGAAAAAATTTATTAAGGAACATTGGCTGTCTGATCAATTTGTACATTTGTTCGCGTCGACTAAAAAAATTGAACATATTTCCGATTATAAAGTTAAGTCAAATTTTTTATTAATTCGCACATTTTTGACGATCATTCATTATAGAAAACTTTTTTAAATCTGACATATGAAGCTCTTCTAAAATACTAATTTATTGGGCAATTAGATAAATTTGTTCGGCCGATCTGAATGCCTTCCGAGCTGCAATACAATGCCAATATACATGGCGTATAGAAATGAGCACAAATTGAGCAGCGCGTTATGCTGGCGCGTTACGCCCTCAGCAGGGAAATCGGAACAAGCTGGCCCGTCTCGCTGCTCACGTCCGCTCAAATTGTGAGTGTTTTTCAGGGCGCGAGTTTCAATGGAGTCCCTGCTGTAGTCGTGGCGGTATTTCTCATCGCAGAACTAAAAGCCTTCAACAAAAGAACCTGAATTCTTCGTCGCCCCTAAAAGAGCGAGTGCATAGAAAGAGGGACGAGGGGCGTGGGGGAAGAGAGCGAGAAAGAAGCTAAGGGAAAGAGGCAAAAGAGAAACCCATCCACCGCTCACTCGCTTGGATCCAAAATGGCAGAAAGGCTCTTTGTTGGCTAATAATGACAAGCAGTGTATAATGTGCGCTTCTTTTGGAGCATTGTGCCGAGTGTGTTGAGTGTTGTGTACTACTGAGACCGTGCAACCAAAATTATTTACTCTCTTTCAATACAATTGTTAAGGTTAGGATCTCGTTGCCGAGTTGATGCTTTACAACGGCTATTGATGTCAGTCTCCGACTGATGTCAGCTCGAGTGAGGATCACGGCACGCTTCACTTGCTGCAAACTTCGCAGTCGTGCGATATTTTCTGAGTCGTTATAGCGCTGCTACCATCGGTAGCACATGTAGGTGCATTACAGCGAAAGCTGCCATGTAACTGATTTTTTTCATTTCATAATAATATTTCATTTCATTTCCTTTTCATAATATTTCATTCCTAATATTTTTTCCGATCATTTAAATTAATTGAGAAATTAGCGAGCAGGGCTTATCTCGGATAAAGGAGACAATTTTTAGAAATACCGAATGTAACTTTTAAGAATATTTAAGATTGGGTTCTGAAGTTTAATTTGAATTCTTTATCAAATATTATAATGATTTATCAATTTTCTCGATAACTAACAGCAATTTGCAAGATTAGCTTTTGCGACGTAGCCCTCCGAATAAAGACTTTTCTAGTATAAATTAAATAATTTCGCGCATTATGCTGAGTTCAGATGTATAAATGAACGGTCTGTACACAGTATGCAGAACTACCAAGAAATAAACGATCCTCATATTAGAATTATTTCCCATCAGTAATAGAGTTTTCCGTATACCACTCCCATTAAATCTCATTAATTTTTATTCCAGGAGCTCATTTTCTTAGCGATTCAATCAAAAGAAATATTTTAGCTGATCAAACGCGTCAATACGGATTTCCTTGAGTTAGGAGCTTTTGAGACTCAAATTTGCCAAACTTGGATTTTGCTGTTCCAAAGATGGACACTTGACTGTCGCAGAGCGACGTCCGGAGACTATTTAGTTTATTCGACCACGAAGAGCAAGCCGCTTCCAACATCGCTTCAAATCATCAGTAGAAATTTTATTTAATTAATATTAAACACGATATTGAGTATCATCAACATAAATATAGACTTGGACTGAACAAATTTAAGAAAAATTGAAAAATCTTAATCCGTTCAAATGATTTCAGCAAAATTAATTTACTACCCGTTAATTAACAGAATCCTGAAATTTGTAGCTCAAGAACATAAATTCTTGTGAAAAATAGACTCTGAACATTTTCCTTGATCCAACTTGTCCTGTTCAGGAATTTTTTCCAACTAATGTGAAGAGGAAAACAAATAGGTGACAAGAAACGACAACGGGCAAAGTATAAATTTTATGTACAGTCAATCCTAATGGTAACAACACACCTGCAATGTACACATCAGATAACAATGTACAATATTAGTGACTAAGAATTTTCATGCTATAACATGAAAAAGATTTCGTCGTGCACAAATATGAAGGTGAATTGCGAAGCACGCTAATAATTTTGTATTCATAGAAATATTAAATCGTCGATGGGATCAGACTCTTAATTACTATAGAAATCCATTTGAAAAATGTCGAGCTGAACCGCTTTTAATAACTTATTTTGCAAACCAATTCGCAAAGATGAGACGGCACGAAAAGTTAAGCAACATTTGAACGCAGGAAGTGCCAAGCTATAAATACAGAGCGACGTACGTTAAGCGATTCAAATTTTGAACATTGATGAGAATTCTGATCAATAATATGAATTGTTATCATTTTCTTTGGGATTACAATAATTTTCCTACATCGGCAGTAGTTTCTGGAAAATTTGTGTCTTCTTCATCGTAAAGTGAGGTTATATAGAACTGCTTCATGAATACTTTCTAAAAAGAACAACACCATACATGTTAGGCCGTTATATCAGACGAAGTAAATAAATCAGGCATGAAGGAATGAATTTTAATGTACTGTTCTTTAGAAATCAACTTTCCCTAAATATTACTTTTTACTGAAGTATTATATTTTAGTTCAATAACTAAGAAATAGATCAAATTTGTGTTTATGTAGTCAATCCAAGGCTAACATTATCGATGATTGTTCTTAAGAGAATTTATCTTTCTGCCGCAGAAATGCTACATAGGAAATAATATCGATGCAATTACATCGATCAACCAAATACATTCGCAAAGTGGAATGAAGACCTCCGTTAATATTATGACATAGAATATCGAATATTATACAGTTTGAATTATTTACATCACCTACAGCGAGCCATTTAAGACCTTCATACAGCGAGCTTCAGATTAATTCTGTACCTAATAATTAATCGACCACATGCTGCCTCGAGCCACATTGCTATTCATTATTTATCAGCATAAAAAAGCCCCTGAAGTTGGAATTAACATGTGCAGTGGACCGAAATTACTGCAACTTTGTGTTTTATTACCTAATGAGAATTGGGACACATCTTCTTCAAAATCTCCAGAACGAACAGATTACAAAGACGTATATTAATTCGAAATATTCAATTGTTAAACAATAAAAATTAAATTGAATTTAAATTAATAAATATTAATGCGTGGAAATATCTTTTGTATCCTGCAGCTGATCATGCACAATAAGCAAGTGCTACCCTGCCGGCAAAATACATAGAATTGTTATTAAGATTTCTGTCGCAAAAAAAAGCCAACAACGAACCAATTTTGAACAACTAAATTGGCAGAAAGAGCCCATTTTTTATGCGAATATGCAAATGACATAAATGTGAGAATTAATATTATCCGTTTCTAAAATTTATGTGTGTTGGAAATGATTTATGCAAAAAACAATGATCACCATGTGAATCCCAGCTGATCAAGCATAAGTGCAACATATTACGTGATCGAAAATGATCAATATGACTAATGAGTAACCCCCGCATTACTAATATTTTGAGCTCGACTACGCACAAAACAAACATGTTACAATCATATCAACAACTTTATGTACATGACTAGCAAGATAAAGGTTGTTAACATCCCGACTCCATGCCAAATGGAGTGTCACATATCATACCCAGCCGAACAGGTATTGATCGATCGACGAAGATTAATGTGGTTCGAAGAGGACAGCGTATATACAGAACATTATTGTCTCTACATGTGCAAATTATATCGCTTGTAACTGAATTTTTTCAGCAAACTCTTGGTAGAGTTAACGTTAACTGGCAATGTGTAAGAAAGTTTTATTGATATAAAAGATGCTTGCGATCAATAGAAGAGGCATGAATAAGAAAAAGATCATCAATAAAAGATTCATGTTGAACGTGTTACTCGAATTACGTTGATGAATGGACCTAAAAATTATACTCCCGACGGTTCTAATAATGCCTTATCATGAATTTTGTAGTAATAAGCAGGAAGAAATTTTGGAAATGATCACTTGATACAATACCTACATGGCAATATGCAAATAAATATAAATAAAATAAAAGGCAATAAAAATATTTCAGTGTGAATGTAGCCACTATAACTGCGTGGCTAAATTTCAAGAACATTAGATACAGATATGAACATAGTTAACACTTCAGTGAATTTGAGAGTGTTCGTTATTGACTGATGGGCTGGAAAAGGCTTACGGGAGAGGACTGTGGCGAGGGATGTCTTGACGTTGGAGGGGAGCTTGGGTAACGGACGCCGCTTTCCGGCGAACAGGACCGTGAAACACGCTTGTTAGGAAGACTTAATATCGAGTCTATAGAAAATGAGTTAGATTTGGACGCTGATTTCTTCGGTTCTGGTTCCTGTGAGTCGAATCTGGCTTGCTTACACAAATCTGAGGGGCTAGTAGGGGCTGGGGATGTACGTTTTAAAGGAGACGATGACTTTCTCTTGACTCCTGAACTTACAAGTTTTGGAGACGATGAGGTTGAGTTGGAAATTCTAGGAGCCGAGCTAAGGGAGTCGCTGTGTTGGGGCAGCATGAGAGGCCCTAAGCTCTGTTGACCGGGGAAACGAGAGAGCATTGCACTGTACTGGAGATTGAAGACGTGGGAGTCCAACAGCTGGTTTGCTTGGTGTTGGTCTATTGAAGCAAGGTACCCCGGTAGCACAGGCGGAGAGAACGCAGGATGCATGGTATGGTGAGTCCTTGGCACGGCATACGGATGGAAATGGGGCAATTGTGATGGTCTGAAGACAGGGATAATGTTTGGGGTTACGTGGTACATGCTTGGGTGTCCTGGGAGAGCGATCGTGGGGAAGAATTGGCCGCCGAAGTACTGAGGGTCAACAGGACGCTTGTAGCGCTTGCGGCGCCTCAGCAGCGAGCCGTTCTCAAACATGCCAGCTGCCCTCGGGTCAAGCTTCCAAAAGTTGCCTTTGCCAGGAGTGGAGGGAGTGCGGGCAACTTTAACAAAACAATCGTTCAATGAGAGATTGTGGCGGATGGAATTTTGCCAAGCAGGGTACCTCACCCTATAATACGGATAAGTATCACATATGAAGTTGCAAATTTCTCCCAGAGTAGCCATTTGATTTGGTGAACATTCGATGGCCTTCGTAATAAGAGCAATGTAGGAAAGTGCTGGTTTTCCATGGACATCTACGGCTGGCAATTCGCTTCTTTCTTCAGTGCTGGGGTCAATGTCTTTTTCTAAGTCGGAATCACTTTGTGAAATATCTCTGTTAGGTTCATCCATTGCTTCGTATGTTGGGTGAGGAAAACACTTCATTCCCATCACTGAGTCACTGTTGAAAGCAATAAGCAATGGTTTATTTGCTTACATGAGCGAGCTACTCGAATGGTAGTTTATTTGTACAGCACACAGTAAGTTCAGAGATGCACACTGAGACTGCTCGACAAGCCACGGTCAGGTAGAGAATGGTGCATCTAGCGCCCGTTGGTAGGAGTTCCTAAGGTGGAGATGGGCAGGGCTTCGGTGCGCCGTCGCTGTGAGCTATAAGACGCCTCCTCTACCGGCCGCTGGACCAATGCTGTGCGCTTCCTATAGAAACACGGGCCTAGTAGCACGGGAAGCCAATGGCGCCAAATCTCAAGCCTGCTATGGGAATAAAATAAGCTCTAGAATTCTACAAGCTCCGCCCTATGAAACCAATATTAGGCAAAGGCTCAAATGTGATCGTAGCGACACCCTGGTTCCATTTAGCCATGAAATATTTGGTGGCGAAATGGAGCAAATCACTTCTGGTTGGCGGAGGATAAAACCATTATCGGATGGCGCCAAGTGCCGCTCAAGGCAGGCTGTTCACCACAAAGGACCGTGGCTCGTCCAACAAAGCGATTGACTCGCACGCTAAGGATTGCCTCGATTGAAGTCTTTTTACTCACGAATATCGTACAGTGCGCTTTTTGGTCGCTTTTGTCATGCATGCGCGATCGCTGAATGTCATCCAAAACACATGGAAAAACTTTCCATAAACATTTTAATATAAATACAATCTAATGTCATGTTTTGAGTATGAATTTCGTAATGTAAGTCATGAAAACATCATTTTCATTATCCTAACGGACTAGTAAAATCCAAAATTAGCAAACAATTCCTATATGCTTCAGCCTCTCGACAATGAAATGAAAAAGTGAGAACGCTTGGTGTGGCAATTATACCTATATTTCAATATTTTAATTGACTTTAAAATGCTACTTGTAAACACACGCAATTTCCCTACGTTTGATGATTTTTTCATGATTTTACAATTTTTAACACGCCCTTGAATTTTTAAGATATAGATACTGATAGATATGCTCAAGTATAATAGATGATATTATTCTCACGTCACTTATTTTTCTTAATAAAGTATCTGCGATCGTCAGTCTTTAGGCCGCTTGTTATCACCTCAAATTACTATAATAAATGACTGTTACAACATTCAATCAGGCATTTTAATTAAAGTTCGATCCAAACTAAACTAATTACATACATTTTGAACGCGCAAATAAGTTTGAGCTACGCACTAAATGATACTTTTATTGTTAACATATAGGATGAATTTAAAGATTTATTGAGTTAATTTTTTATGTCACAGCCATTTTAATATATAGACAAAAATGACAAAATTTATTCTATGCATTTATGAAGCATGTTGCCTTATATATCCGTGTTTCGCCGGATAAATAGCATGCAGGAACCTAAATTCGACACTCTTCCAATATATTTCGTAAAATCGCATCCAATATTTTTCATAAACACTATACGAAATAAATATTATAACAACCTGCAATCCTTGAAGTGAGTCCATGAGTTAAGGTTGTTCACTCTACCAGTTACATAATCAGGAGATTTACATTTACGATATCATATAATAAGCATGCAGTCGATTAATTGTTATTCAAGCGCATGTATATATGAACATTATTTATGCAGAAAATATTAACTGTCTCTCGACAATCAACTAGACTGCTATAACTTACCTTGAAGACTTGCGTTAATGACAAAAATGAAAGCTCGAGCGCATTTACGTATATTTTTGTACGTTATATAAGCACTATTTATATAGAAAAAATTTCAAGAAATTAAATCAAGGAATATATATATGCATGGCTCATATAATTTAAGCTTATAAGTGTTTCACAAAAACTATATCCATGTTTAGATAAATTAGATAGAGGAACTTATATAGGATTTAAATGAATGAGCGCTTATATTTCGGCAGTTACATAAGATACAATATATATCAGTCATATTAAAAAATTTAATTGTTATCTTAGCAGTGTTGCTTATAAGGTACTTCCTATAGGTTGAGAATCCTCTTTGCATAGCTCTTAATATATTTCTTTTTGGATGATGCATACGAGATTCCATGAATGCAAGCTAGTTTTGATATAAATTACTTACATTTCGGTTTAGGAAAATGGATATAGATATAATTCAGACACTTATGCTCATTAAAATAATCCCATTAGAATACAATAGATTCAGTGACCGTGTATTGTCGAAGTTGGAATTCAATCACTAATAAAAACTGGTTCGAGAATTAAATTAATATTGAGCCTACAGTTATTCATACAATTTTAATAGTGGACGTGTATCCGGATGCAGATTACAAAAAGAATGAAAGGTTCACAGTCGTATGACTAAATGAAAAATTAATGAGTAAATACAATACGAGGAAGTAGAGGATTTTTTGACATTATCCAAATCTTTGAAACTTGTTGTAAAGACTTGGATTTTTTTTAATTGAAATCATAGAACATTTAATCATGTTATCTTTGGCTAACCGCAGCAAAGTAAATAACATTAATATGCCTTACGTACCATACATGCCTTTTAGCTCATCTATTTATAAAAAATTCATAAAACTTAATTGCCTTCTAAAACACTCACTTTAAGTCCATATGAGATAACGATAATAATGCTAATATGACGGCAAAGGAGACAGAGTTCTCAGGAGACTTTTTTTGGCAATTTTTGAGTGAGTTACATCGGGAAACTAACAGTCCCAGAAGCTATGCTTGCATAAACATGTTTGTTCAGATGGGCTTAATGATATCTTAGTTTTCTCTGCATGGGGTGTGATGAACTCAATAAACAAAGTAAAACTTTCACGTATATGAACATAAAATTTCCATTCATAGTTTTTTATGACCTTTTTCATTGTTTTATCTGTAATTTAATTGTATATAAACTCGTAAAATAAAATATGCGCAGGGCAAAAAATTTTATGCAAATTCAAGCATTTATAATTAAATCCAATCTGCTACCAAGTCGTATTTTTGTCAGCAGGTGGGCCGAAAGTATTATTATACAGCATTAATTATTAAGCATCAATGAGATAAACATGAGTCATCCCTGAGTTCAATATAATCTTCAGAGGACATATATTGATAAACATTGTTTCCGAACCGGCAGTGAATTCTGCTGCATCAAATTTCTTCATGTTGGAATAAAATATACCGAATCTCTGTAAATATTTCACACAAAATATTTTTTGCATTATATGCCACCTTGCAAAATAAAGAACGTCAGATTTAATGTGCTACATGCGCGCAATCACAAGTTTTCTTCGGTGTTATAGAAAGAAACGAGCATCACAATGTAGGTGCAGGGCTGGAGTTTGGCCCTCTGGAGCGTAGCTCATCTTTAGGTGTGCTCGAGATGAGCAAACTGTGTTCGTAGTTGTCTGAGAGGGTGCCAGGTGCAGCTGTTCCCAGCGCCATCAGTCCCTGCTTCAAAACCATAGACATTTATATGGCTTTTCGGCGGCCACCTTCAAACGCTAGTTTTTTTACTCAACTTTATATCCCTCGTTTACTGGTCCATGATATGAACTCACTCTATAAGTTTTATTTGCCAAAGGCACTTAATGTAATTTGACATCTGCAGGTGACAATGAAATCCACGGATGAAATAAGCGTCGTCCTCCATCACATTAAGGTGAACGGAGACAACCTGCCGATAGTTTGATAATCATGAGCAATTATTGAGCTTTCAGTACATCCCTCCGATAACTTGAGGTGCTGTAGTTATAAATGAGAATTGCGATGTTTGGTATCACATTGAAAAACATTCATCACTGTATTCGAATATCACCCAACAGGTCCCCGGCTTAATAAAACATTGATTGCAGCACAAATGTAAGATGTCACGTGCTTATATACGTATGTTTGTTCATAAATGCAGTTCCTATTTGTTACACAGAATTTTAGCAATTCTCAAAATTGCAGAAAAATATCCAGATTAGACGTCAGTGCAAATGCTCTCTGAATTTGAAAGGTCTATCAATTTATAAGAACACGAAATCCAAATGAGGAAAAATGCAGAATATTAATTTGTTCATGAATGAGATTCAACCTTTAACAATTAACAGAACATTTAACTGAACAAAAGGGACAATGCAGCCAAGACTAAATGTGCAATAAAACATTTCTTCCCAAATTTATGGGATGAAGCCGTTAAATCTGGACAACTTCCGGCCGATTTGACGTATATAGCCACGGTTGCCCCATATAAAACTGGCGCGGGTGTGTAAGAAGTAATTAAAGTATTAGCTTATTGAGGATCTTTTGTGGCGCTCACTTCTGATGTTTACCAGCATGACAGCTCAACCTTGTAAGGAGAAAATTCTGTTTAGTGCTCATCTAACCGCTTGCCCTTTAAAAGCCACCTAGCTATATTGAAGAAATAATATTTTGAAGAAGAATCGGTGATGATATTTAATTTGGCCGAGCGCTTGTATTGAACGGACATAATTATAAGTCAAAGAAACGCAATACACCATATGAACGGGCTTTAAGGACATTTAATATCGACGGTCTGTGCTGAGTTCTTATATATTTCTTAGGCAATTCCCTCATATGTGAAAATTACTCAAGGGAACAGTAAAATGAGTGCATAAAGTTAATAAGACTTGTTTGCTTCACAAAAGGGCTCATTTGAACAAAACTGCAATGGGGCTGTACACAGTAAAAACACTTTGGTGTAATAGCAAACTCTCTGATTAGGTACAGTTATAAATATTACTATAATGTTGTCAAAAGGTCGTTCATAACATGCGAAATAATGAAATGCAAACTCTGATGCAAAATAATGAAAAAAAGAACAGCAAAAATCTCCTGCCATATCACAATTTTCGTAGCTCACTCAAATTTATTTTGGCATTTTGTGGACATGTGTGCTCATGAAATAGGCTTACCGTATGTGAGAATAGTCTCTTTTATTTTATAACTATATAATTGCCATTGTGTAATTTCCTCCAAACCTTTTTCTTTAATTTGCATAATATTTTTTGCTAGTCTGAAGCGACTAGCTACCTAGGCAATTAGAACTGTTATACACATGTAGTAGTCAATTATAGGTTCATGTTTTTGTTCAAAATTTTGAAGCGGTGCGACCAATTCTTCCAAAG